CAAGGAGCCGACTTTGAGTCACGTACTGTCAAGGAGCTGTGTAAGGTTGCAGGAATACACAAGGTCAGAACAACCCCATACCACCCTAGGGGGAATCCAGTGGAACGATTTAATCGTACACTGCTCCAAATGCTTGGAACACTGGAAAATGAGAGGAAATCTAGGTGGAAGGAGTATGTAAAACCCCTAGTGCATGCCTATAATTGCACCAGGCATGACACAACTGGATATACTCCCTACGAGCTCATGTTTGGGCGACAACCTCGTCTTCCTGTTGACTTGGCATTCGGGTTGCCAGTGGACACTCCCAACAAGTCTCACTCACAGTATGTGGAAAACTTGAAGAATCGTTTACGTGAAAGTTACGAGATGGCTACCAAAAATGCTGGAAAGATTGCAGAACGTAACAAGCAAAGGTTTGACAAGCATGTAGTCGCCTTAACTCTGGAAGAAGGTGACCGAGTTCTAGTGAGGAATGTGCGTTTGCGAGGCAAACATAAATTAGCTGACAAATGGGAGCAAAATGTTCATGTTGTTGTCAAGAAAGCACATAACCTACCGGTGTATACTGTCAAACCAGAAGGAAAGGATGGTCCGTTACGAACTTTACACCGTGACCTCTTGTTACCCTGTGGATTTTTGCAATCAAATAAGCTTGTAGAACCTCCAAAACAGAAACCAGCCAGGAAGCCTCTAACCAGATTTTCCCTTAACAATGAGATTCAGGAATCAGACTTAATTTCCGAAAACTCAGAATCTGAGGAGGAACACATCGTCAGTAATGTGCCTGAAGGAACATTAAGTTTTGAAACTCAAATTATTGTTGGTCCTGAGTACATACCAGTTGGGGAGTCTGGTGTTAGCTTAACAGTCCTCGATCCTGCTGTGGAAGACGTGTCTGTTCCGGAATCTGTAGTAAGTAATCCAGAAGAACCTGCAAAGAAACACTTACCTGGTGTGGAACCTGTGGAAAAAGAAACAAATGAGTTAATTGAAGTAGAAAAAAATTCCAATGCACTTGAGTCAAGTAACACTGTGCCATTTGTCCTGACTGAGAAAAACTCAGAGTTGGAGCAATCCTCAGAGCTTTGGAGTGAGTCCCCTGATCAAACAGCCAAAAATGTGCCAGATAGTTTTGAGTGGGAAACTGAACAAAATCTGATACCCAGCAATGTGGGACATACTGAAATTTTGCAGAATGAGCAACCCACTTGTAATGAACCAGATGATATTTTACTCAGACGATCACAGAGGGAGCGACGGCCTCCCAAGAAGTTTGAATATCCCCAGTTAGGGAATCCACTTACCTTAGTTATACAGTCTTTGTTACAAGGCCTTGATACAGCTCTCTGTTCTTCTTTAGAGAAGTCAGTTGTTGCTCCAGTGCGTCATCTGTGAATACTGTTTGCTGTGCAATGCAAAGGGACTTGCATGTATTCGAGAGGGGAGGGTGTAACCCAGGTTACTGTAGTCCTTATTAAGCCCTTTAACCAAATAAATAAATAAGAACAATAACTGGAGTACATGTAAAATAATTTTATTTGTATTTTGTAATAGTCACAATGTTATCAAAAAGAAAAAAAGAAACATTATATAATCGTAGAATACAGATAAAATTAAATGCATCTATTTAACTGCGAGTGAAAAAAATACTAGCTCCGCCTCCCGTAATGACGTCATCTGCGCGCGTTGAGTTGAGAGAGAGGCAGAATCACAGCGTGAGAGAGGAGTGAAACGAGAGAAACATGAACAGCTGAAGCGAGCTCGCGGCCCGCGTATTGTATAGCTGTAAAATTTGAGAAATTAGAAGTAAGACAAGCAGTTGAAACTTGATTTAGTTGCTGTAATATACTATTGTCCGTACTCAAACCCCCAATCGCGTTTGGACCAAGGACAGGAATCGTCTGAAGCACAGATCTGATTAGGCTGTATTTTTTTTTTTTGGTTCATAAGTGATTTTTCCTTCAACTATAACTACTATATTTCTTGGTGAGTGAATTTTATATTATTGTATTTCACTAAAAGTGATTGTTATAAGTCATTTATGGTGTAAATGGTTCATAAATATAGTCTGAATGTATGTTAAATGGTTAAAATGCACATTAATGTGAATCTAAGTGTGGATTAAGAGCAAATCTGCAGTTTAAATGTTTTTGGGGAGTGTATTAGTGTTACAAACGGACATCTGCAGTTGTCCATGTGCTCTTTTAGCATGTGCAAATGGCTCACATGTGTTTTGCTAACCGTGTGCTTAAACTAGCATGCTAACAGAATGTGAGTGCATCTATTAAGATGTTTTTTCAGTTTAATAGCTATATACAAATACGAAATTGCAATTGTAGTGAAGATAATGTGGTTTAATATGAGAGTTGATACTTTATTGTACATTTATCCTATTTTATTTAAATTGGTTAAGTTTATGTGAGAACTGTTTGTATGCACTGATTTATATTCATTGTTGAAAGGTGAATGGAAATTAATGGTGCCTTTCCACCTTGTCTTTTCAAGGTTGGGTTTTTTTTTTTGTGTGTTCTTTTCCTCTGTTTTGGTTTTCCATCTTCTCTGTTCGTGATCCTGACACCTGACATTTGGAGTGTGGAGTTCTAGAAGTCCAAAGTATTCTTGTTTCTGCCATCTTGGAGGACATTCGCTGTTGGTGGAAACTGGCGAGCCGCCCGGTTTTATGGAACCAATATTTCGTGTTGCCCAATTCATCTGATTGGTAGGAAATTTGAGTTTATATTTTCCATCGTCTATCGGACACAGGAACGACTGGAAGCCAGAGTCATATTTAGTTCTATTTTTCTGGAACTGAGCTACTAATCAGTGTTAAAACAAAACACTGCAACGGGTGCATTATAAACATTTGAGTTTATTGAACTGAACTTGAACATTTCACAACCAAACAGGTGATCAATCATATTTGTTTGATGGACTAGTGAATCATTTTGCCGAATCACTTTGGTATCTGACAAGAAATTATTTTCTGGGTTCAATTTTCTAGCCGTTTTTTTTCCTAATTGAAGTGTTTCAATTATTACTATAGTCTTATTTACCTGAGGAGTGCTGAAGTTGTTTATATTTACCTTTTACATTTTGTTTTTGTGAAGAAAACACTTGACGTAGTGTGAAAAGCCTTTATTTTATTTTATTACTTTATATTTGGGGAAATATACATTTCAAAGTCCAAATTTGAGAATAATTAGTTTGTTATTTTATTTAATTTATTTCATTTCTCACTAATATTTACAATATAAATCATATATATTTTGATACAAAAATTCCTGTCTTGTGTCATCATTTCCCTTGTCTTGCTGCAAAGTTGGCTCCAGAGCGAACTTAAACTTCTGATAACTTGGTCCAAAGTTGATAGTATAATATTGTAATCTCCTTGGTTTCTATATCGTGCGGGTTACACAATGTTTGATACCGCACGGCGAATGAGAGAAAAAAAACTCTGCATTTCCCGGAAACTTAGATACACATGGCAGGTAGCGTCAGAAAGCCGCGTGTGTTATTCCGGTCACTAAATGCGGTAAAAATCCTACACGAGGTTAAAGTTTGGTTGTGGTGCTAACATGTTTACACTCGGTGCAATAGTTTGTTAGATACGAACAAACTGAATAAACAAAGAGCACTGGTCGCTCACCTACCAATTCTGTAGAGACAGGACAATCACCAGCAACTAGAGCTGCATCTTTATTAAGAGAAGACTACAAGCGAATCCGGATCTCAGCGTTTGCAGATGAGAACAGCTCTCAGGTTAACAATAATCCTCCTTAGACACGTAAGTTATTGTTGTCGTGCGTCGCGTACACTGTTAATCCACACGTGACTCCAGCTGCGCTCTCACAGAGAAAAAATGAAAACGAAACTTAACTGCAGCAAACTATAAAAGCAACACTTCACGCTTGTTTTGCCAATACAACGTGGCGACTCTGCCGTCTACACTGTGACAGTAATGAATATTAATGAAGTTGCACAATAGAGCGCGCTGATTGGTTTGAACCAAGCTTTACTCATGCATTAATGCATCACACTGTAAGACGCAATAAGACACACTCTGGCACAGACATCCAGTCTGCACGCTGGAATACAGGCTATTATGTCATGACCGTGACGCAGCTTCAAAAATCTGTTTCAAACCGGAAGTACGAATTTGCTTGAAATAACGCAAAAACAACCAATTTACACTTTTTAGTGAAATATAGGTGTCCTAAAAGTGTTTTTAGCAGTGTGGGACACATATACAACTGTCAACAGCTCAAAAATGTGTTTTGGTGTTTTGTGACCCTTTAAAGGGCCATGAAACCCCCTCGTTTCAGCAGGGTGTTTTCACACCTCTACTTTGGAAAAAGTCAGAAAAGTGGGCGTGTCCAGCTCTGTTTAGGGGGAGTGTCGGAGGAACTAAAGTGGGAGGGTGTGGGAGTGTCTATTTGAGCACACGCGAGTTTCAGAGTCAAAATACACACATACACACACACACACACACACACGGGAGAAAGTGATGGTGTTTACATGGACATCTGTAGTCGAATTATTTGCCAAATCATTAAATGGTGGACTTCAAAAATTAGAAGTACGAATTTGCTTGAAATAACGCAAAAACAACCAATTTACACTTTTTAGTGAAATATAGGTGTTCTAATAGTGTTTTTAGCAGTGTGGGACACATATATGACTGTCAACAGCTCAAAAAAATGTGTTTTGGTGTTTCGTGACCCTTTAAGGGCTGGGGCTGCATTCTAGTCCATTGTTTTATACCCATCACTCCATGTCCTTCCTTCTGATGTACCTATAATCATTGATTACGTCACACAAGTGTTCACTACTGGTGGAACATCTGTATGGGTTTAAATGGATATCCCTACAGCAGAGATGTCCAAACTCGGTCCTGGAGGGCCGGTGTCCTGCATAGTTTAGCTCCAACTTGCTTCAACACACCTGCCTGGAAGTTTATATCTAGTAAGAGCTTGATGAGCTGGTTTATGTGTGTTTAACTGGGGTTGGAACTAAATTATGCAGGACATCGGCCCTCCAGGACCGAGTTTGGACACCCCTTCCCTAAACCCTTGAGCATATAGGAACTACACTGTTGTGAAGTCACAATCGCATTGCATTCTAGGACATATAGGTGCTGGAGTGGACATGCAAAAGCTGACTTGCTCCCTTGGTCAAATTCGAGGGATCAAGGGTATGTCCATGTAAGCTTTCTTCTTTCACTTGATGAAGTAGGATGCACTTCAAAATTGAGCTAGGGATTCCCCCGAGGGAACTCGTTTCTAAAAGTGGAGTGGAACGCAGCCCAGTGCTGGCTCTGCCCTGCACCCTCTCCTAATAACTTCTCCATTCTACTCAGTAGTCTCTTGAATTTGCCTGTTGGATAGAAAAGAACTTTATATCACAAAGCAATGAGACGTATGTGTTTTTATCATACAGTATAATAAAACTAATAACGTACTCTAAGTGTGTTTCATGCTTTGAGAAGACAGACAGGACGAAGGAGGCAGTCTCGCCAGGATTCTTTGTGCAGGGCACGATCAGGTACTCCCCTGGCTCCAGTCTGAAGAATTTCATCACCTCTCTCAACCAAACTAAATCATCAGTGTGTGCCACAGGCTCTCGGTCAGCGAAAAACTCCATCGCAAACCTCTCATTCTGATGTCTCATCTAAAAAAAAAAAAAAGAAAATGAAGTGTGTCTTTGTGTATTTAAAAACAATATACATCAACAATATTTCTTGAATTGTAATTTGGAGTAATTTCACTTGCCTCTAATGGTATCTGTAAAAGATAAATAACAGTAGAACGATGATCATGAATGAGATAAATGGATAATGGACAAAACTCAAAAGAAATGTTAGGAGAATAACAACTTTTAAAAGGTTAATGAACACTAGACAACATTTAAGAGACAGCTCAACCAAAGTTTTTAAATCATTTACTTATCTTTAAGGTCACAAACAGGTTTGAGTTTCTTATATTGAACACAAAGGAAGTTATTTTGAAAAATCTTGAAAACCTGTAACCACAATGTTTGACAATGGAATATATAAATTTGACACTGTAATATATCATTTTGTATTAAAAAAAAATTCATATATTAACTCAAACTAACCACTTCAGGATGAGTAAATTTTCATTTTGGGTAAACAAATACATTCATGATTATTTTTTTAATAACTAATTTCTTTTGTCTTTGCCATGATGATATCATGTTTTACTTGATATTTTGCAAGATACTAGATTTCAGCTGAATATGTCACAATCCTTTCGTTTGCCTGTCAAGTGGTCCATGTGGGATCTGTTATTGTCATGTGATTCCTTTGTTCAGTTTTTCCGCCATTCGTTCGTTTTATTAGTTCTACCTGTGTCACACCCCTGTATGTATTCAGTTTAATCATATCTAGTACATTTATACTCATGAGTTTCATTAGTTCTTTGTCTGGTATTATATTGTCATCCTGTTCCTTTGTGTGGTCCTGGCATGTGAGTGGTTATATATATATATATATATATATATATATATATATATATATATATATATATATATATATATATATATATATATATATATATATATATATATATATAGTATAGTTGAAGTCAGAATTATTAGCCCCCCTGAATTATTAGCGCCCCTGTGTATTTTTTCCCCCAATTTCTGTTTAATGAAGGGAAGATTGTTTCAGCACATTTCTAAGCATAATAGTTTTAAAAACCTATTTCTAATAACTGATTTATTTTATCTTGATGACAATAAATAATATTTTACTTGATATTTTTCAAGACACTTCTTTACAGCTTAAAGTGACATTTGAAGGCTTAACCAGGTTAATATGGTGAACTAGGCAGGTTAGGGTAATTAGGTAAGTTATTCTATAACGATGGTTTGTTTTATACACTATCGAAAAAAAATAGCTTAAAGGGGCTAATAATTTTGTCCCAAAAACAGTTTTAAAAAAATTCAAAACTGCTTTTATTCTAGCCAAAATAAAACAAATACAACTTTATCTAGAAGAAAAAATATTTTCAGACCTACTGTGAAAATTTCCTTGCTCTGTCAAACATCATTTGGGAAGTATTTAAAAAAGAATAAAAAAATCAAAAGGGGGCTAATAATTCTGACTTCAACTGTATATATATATATATATATATATATATATATATATATATATATATATATATATATATATATATATATATATATATATATATATATAAATATATTATACATATAGTGCGTTGTGCCCCCACCAGTGCCGAAACACAGCCATATCGCACTCTGCAAAATAAACTGTGAAACTCTGACCAATGTGAGGAGAGTTTACTCACATGTGACTTGTATTAGCTCTTTTGGTCCATTTAGAAACTTTGCAGTGTGAAAGGGAACCGCACCAAGAACAATGAGCAATAATGTAACAAATTTAATCTCTGTTTCGGAACAAATGAATCGATTCATAGGTGTGAAAGCACCCTAAGACTCTCATTTCTTGTGGGGGCTGATAAAATATACCTTAGAAGTTTAACTATTAAGAAAAGAAAAAGTATAATACTGTGAAACAAGTCCTTGTTCTCTTAGTTGGGAAAATGTTAAAGAAGAATATGATTCTTCCTGGATGTGTTCTTGATATAGAGGACGCATGGATGCAGACTTGGGCACCGAACTCCAGAAGTCATTGCGACTGGAGGTGGGAAGAGCAGAATTTTATATAGATTCATTATTAAAGTGCTATCTAAATCAAGTTTACATATTGCTATGTCATGTTCAGTGTTATCTATAGACTGTTTACAACTGGGTATCTTTACGTACTGTGCGTAAATATGCATCACTCTGTCTGCCAATACTAACCTCAAAGACATAAAAGCCAATGTCATAATTTTCTTGGCTATTTCTGTTTCTCTTCTCATGGTTCTGCATCAGGGACACCAGTATATTTTCAGGGCGCTGCCCACTAGCACAATCCTCATTCAGCTCGTCAATTGTCACCCGAAACTGAGGATTCTTCCAGAAGGTCTCTGTAACACAATAAATAAAGGCTTGTAATATTAGTTTTTAATGCATTAATTTTACATTGTATCTGGCTTACTTGTACGGTACATGCCTGATATATACAGTGGTGATCAAAGACAGAGAACAACCCACAATTTGAAAAAATTCAACGACATTGCTTTCTCCCATTGAAGTTGTCAAAACTATAGTAAAAGAACATTTTTTATAATATTTTTTCATCAAAAATTCTGAAGCACAGTTTAATAAAATTAAATGAGGCCTTTGAAAAAGAACACTGATCGAAATTAGGGAACGCTTTTTCTCACAGACAGTTACAGGTGTTCATCTGCACCAGGTGGTAATTTCTTTAATTATGACAAAATTTATCTGACAACCAAACTGTCCAGTTTTCACAGATTTTGCAAGAGAATTTTATCATTGCAAATATGAATTCTAAAATATTGCATGTGTATACATGTTTTAAGCACTTTTTTCAAAAGCATTTTTATTTTAGAATCAGAATCTTTGTTACTATATAAAATACAACGAAATTTACATTTGCCTTTCCCTTCAGTGCAGTCCTATTTATCTAAAGCAACAACAATAATAACAAGAGATAAAAAGATAAAGTGGCAACAATAATTAATCATTGAAGGAGTAACAATACAATACTAAAAGTGCGTATGATGTGCGTATAAAGTGGCAAGTGCATTTCCTAGCAGCAGGTTAAAAAGTGAGTAAGATTAAAATAATTTTGGCCAGAAACACCCTCGATTTAATGTCCATTCATTATTGCAACAGCCCTTGGATATGTACTATTTTTTAATCTGTTTGTTTTAGTTTTTATGGTCCTATATCGTCTCCCTGAAAGTAACATTTGAAATAGATGGTATGCTGGATGAGACGAGTCCTTCAGGATGCTGCATGCTCTGCTTTAGCTGCGAGCCTTTTTTAATCTCATTGTGTTGACAACCTTTTGGAGAGAAGCTGTTTCCTGGGCAGTGCAACTGGCATACCACACAGGGATGCAATATGACAGCACACTTTCAATGGTGCATCCGTAAAAGGACACTAGCAGTTCTTGGGCTAAGTTGTTATTTTTAGCACCCTTAGAGTCGCTGCTGTGCCTTTTTGACCAGTGCTGTAGTGTTGGTTTTCCATGATATGTTGTGGTACAGATGCAAATACTTGAAATTACTGACAATCTCCACACAGTCCCCTTGTATTTGTATGGGCAGAGAAACTGGTCTGTTACCTCTGAAATTCACTATGATTTCCTTTGTTTTTAGGGTATTGAGGGCCAAGTTATTATCACTGCATCATAAAGCCAGTTTATTTACTTGATCTCTGTATGCGGTCTCATCTCCATCCGTGATGAGCCCGACCACTGCAATATCATCCGCAAACTTCAGGATATAATTACTTGAATGGAAGGGAGTGCAGTCGTGTGTATAAAGAGTGTACAGTAAGGGACTCAGCTAACATCCCTGTGCGGAGCCTTTACTAAGGCTGAGTGCTGGAGAGACATGGTGCCCTACCTTGACTCTCTGTGAACGGCTACTAAGGAAATCTTGAATCGAGAGGCAAATAGAGAGAAGGAAACCTTTACTTCACTACATTCCAAAACAAAACATTCTACCTTTTAAGAAGAAATTTTATTTCAATTGAAGGATGATTCACTGATTCAAATGATCCATTTAGAATGAATCTCCAGCAAATGATTCACTGATTCAAATGAACTGTTCAGACTGAGGCTGTTTCTCAATATGTGTTCTTCAGTTGTCTTGCATCTTTGTGTTCTCGTTTAATGTCATCATGAACTGCCAAAGTTCAGTTCCAATACTCAAGACCGCAAGAAGAGAGGATGCATGAAACTTCCTGGATGTTTTCCTGATATCGAGGAAGCATGGATGCAGACTTGGGCACCGAACTCTCTAGGAGTTCCAGAAGTCATTGCGACTGGAGGTGGGAAGAGCAGAATGTTATATAGATTCATTATTTAAGTTCTGAGATAAAACTTATTTATCTCAGGAGTTTCCCTAAATGAGACGGTGAATCTAAACATTACCAAGAAAATCTTAATAAACACATTAAGGGTGTTTATTTGATGAAGCTCCTATTAAAATCAGTTTAATTTAAATATATATGTTTTGAAAAGGGGAAAAACAATAAATCGTTGTATGAATGCTGTGATGTTTAAATAATTTTCCATTAAAAACACGTAAAGGTCATGTGACTTGACTTCTCCTGAGTTCATTCTTCCGAGAACAGCCAGTATTGTCAGTATATACTGATTCAAATGATCCATTCAGAGTGAGTCTCCCCAATAAATAACTTGCTGATTCAAATGATCAGTTCAAAGTGAGTCTGCAGTAAACAATTCACTGATTTTACATTATTGTGGTTTCCCATGTTTTCACTTGACTTGACAATTTCACTTGACAATTTTTCATTAATTACATTTTCTTGCAAAATAAACATTCACCAGTAAGTGCTTTTACTTGTATTACTAAAATAAAAATCAAGTGCTTATCAACTAATATTGAAAAGAAGAACTTTATATTTCTACCTCTGTAAGTGTATTCACACACCTGATTTACTTTGTCCAACACTGTTACTATGTCATTAACTCATTTAAGTCCCCAATAAGGGTGATCATCCACAAAAGAAAAATGTGTAAGAAGACATGGGCAATCGGTTCAGCACTGCAACTGCTCCTTTGGCAACATGCAATTCCCTGTCACCGTTCATTGTCCAATCAGTCCAAAGATTTAATGCAGGACAATAATATCCATCACGCAGCAAATTGGGAAGCTTATAACATTGAAATAACGAATTGGCAGACCAGAGTCCTGACCTAAACCTGATTGAAAATCTCCAGAAGAGAAACTCAAAGTAACTCAAGCCAAGGGTCTCTAAACTCTCAATAAATTTGTAGCCTTCAGATTTTTCAAGCTGCTTTCTCTAATTTTTATAGCTATTTTTTTCACAAAATAAAAGAATTTCGTTGATGTGCTGTTGGTATTTTGCAAAATACTGTTCTGTATGCTTTGCTAAAGACAGATTTTGAACAATAAAAATGGCATTATTTCTGAGAATAATTACATTTATAAATTGCTATAGAGAGTAAATCTGTTTACTGAATCAAATCTGATCTTGGCTGTATTGTGTAGAACTAATAGCCTTTTGTCATTTCACCACACTGGAACTGATTGATATGTTAGCGCTTTATACAAAACCGCATGTGTTTGCACTGAATAATAGTACCTGTCTTAATGATGTCACCACCAGCTGTAAGGTGGTGTATGAAAGTATTATACATGAATTTCTCTGCATTCCATCTGCCAAAATGGCGTTTGGAGGTCCAGTGGCAATCAGAGGAACCATCCAGAAAATCAGGACAGAGACAGCAGATATCTATGCTTTCAAAAAGTCTGGTGAAGTCTTCCATCGACATCCTGCAGCAAAGATGTGTGTAAATAAGTCAATATGGGATGTAGTACTTTGTAAATGAGGAAGTCATTTTTTAATAAAGGGAGAGATGACGTGACACGTGACAGTACTCAACACGTTGTGCTCACCAGAACTCCCCATCATTTAAAACTTCACGGCAACATTTGCGGGCCTCCTCACAAACCGTCTCCCACAAAGGTGACCTGAAAATAAATGACCAACACATGCGTACATTCAGTGTAAATCCTACTACTTTGTTTGTGAAGTGACATTTTTTACAGCACTTACTCATCACTCCAGTCTCCTTGCCACTCTTCTTCACCCCATGGATTTAACAGTCTCACCAGCTGAACTGGGTTTTCCTCACTTATTACCTGTTGTTCAAAGCCAGATGTTATAAGAGTATTAAAAAGGGGCCTAGTAACCTGGAACTAGTACCTCAGCCCACTTTCCACAAAACTTGCCAATAATTTACGTACAATTCACTGTAGTTTCCAGGTGAACAGAATATTTTGGCAGTAAAACAACTTTACTTGATAAAAAACTTCATAAAATACCACTAAGACTAGTAGAAGCAAGCTGAAAGGCATGGTTACTTTAGTGTTTTTCCTGTATGTTTACTCTGAGTTTAAGGCAGAGTTTAATACAGGTTTAATTTCTGAACTACCATGGTAAGTATGACCAACATAATAAGACTATGGTTAAGACACACAATTGTGTAGCCCAAAATAAGCACACAAAATACGCAAACAGACAGCCTTACCTCAAATACCCCGGTCACAGTGTAAGCATGGTCTGCAATTATGCCATGCAGTAACTCATTTTCTTCAGGTGAACCCTGAAGACAACAACAACAAATGGAAGCTTGTAATAACAGCTACTTGCTGGTTGCCTACAGCAGATTTATGATTGACAGATTATTATTATTATTATTATTATTAATTTCACACATTTAATTCTGAAAAAGCAAAAACAGTATGGTGATATACTGTACATATAAGACTTCTCTCTTTTAATTTCTTAAATAAGGGCGAAGCAGTGGCGCAGTAGGTAGTGCTGTCGCCTCACAGCAAGAAGGTTGCTGGGTCGCTGGTTCGAGCCTTAGCTCAGTTGGCGTTTCTGTGTGGAGTTTGCATGTTCTCCCTGCGATTGCGTAGGTTTCCTCTGGGTGCTCCGGTTTCCCTCACAGTCCAAAGACATGCAGTACAGGTGAATTGGGTAGGCTAAATTGTCCGTAGTGTGTGAGTGCGAGTGTGTGTGTGAATGTGTGTGGATGTTTCCCAGAGATGGGTTGCAGCTGGAAGGGCATCCACTGCGTAAAAACTAGCTGGATAAGTTGGCGGTTCATTCCGCTGTGGCGACCCCAGATTAATAAAGGGACTAAGCTGACAAGAAAATGAATGAATGAATGAATGAATGAATGACAACTGTAATTTAATAAATCAGATTTTTTTAAGCTGTTAAAAATGTTTTGAATTAGAATTTTTCCTCTTCCCTGTTGATCTGAATTTCTGGTTTTGAATTTTAGAATATTAAATTTGATGTTTTGAAGTTCTTTATCTTGAAAATTTGAAACTGTATTTTTACAAACTGGATATCTGCAGTCTAGGAATTCAGAAAACAAGAATATCTGAAGTTTGAAAATGCATCTATAAAAAAAAAAGCTGCCTTGAAAAATTCAGTGGTCTTAAATTTCAGATTTTCAATATTTAAGTTATGCAATTTAAATTCAAAATGAGAAAGTCAAATTAAGAAATTCAAATTTCAAAACATTCAGATTTATTAAATTACAATTGTCAATAATTCAAATGAACACAATACAAATTCAGATTGTTTTGGCATATTATTAGCTCTATACTACTATTAGTAATACAGTTTGGACAACACTTAGAGCCAGGTCGCTATTGTTTAAAGAAAAGTGTCTACATGTAATCCAAACTATCTTACATTTATTTACTTAAATAAAACACTTAATACAGTGGTTTTCAATCTTGGTCATGGGCAGCCACCTCTCTGCACAACCAATGATGCAATCCATGCACACACACTCACATAGTCTTATGCATAAGTTGGGCCACCCCTGATAATGTTCATAACTGCAAGCTATAGCCTGTTGGCCTTCCAAATCAGAAAATTAATTTGGATATATTTTATACCCTAGTGAAAAAGTAACATTTCAGTTCTGACATAACATTTATTTAATCAACAGATGCAATGGAATTTAAGTCCTAACAAAAACAGACAGGTGCAAAATTTGCGCACCCCAACAGAATAATGACATTACTCTTTTGTGCAGCCACCTTTTGCTGAAATAACAGCCTGTAGACACTTCTTACAGCCAAGGATGTGCCTGAATTCTTGCTTTTTCTAGTTAAATGGGGTGAGAAAAATAGGGTAAGCAAAATAATCTTGTTTTTTCTTTTGGCATAAGAATATTTTTCTTATCCCATTGGCAGATTATTTAGCTTTTTTTAAGGAAAAACTCACTTGATTGTGGCATATTATTTCTTTAAAAAAGACTTAATGTTTTGCTTGTCTAGAAAACTAGACTAATTATTAGATATTAGGACTAGAAACAAGACAAAAAAAAATCTAAGTAAGAAAATAATTTTTGCAGTGAAGGCATTTTAGAGCATTCTTCATTGCAAAATTTCTCCAGTTCAGTGCGGTTTGATGGGTGCAGAGCGTGAATGGTCCGTTTCAAAATAATCCATAGATTTTTATTGATGTTTATGTCTGGGGACTGGGATGGCCATTCTAGGACATTCTATCATGTCTGAGCATCAATTCCTTGGTAGATCTGGAACTGTGCTTTGGGTCATTGTCCTGCTGAAACATCCAACCTTGCCATAACTTCAGCCTCTTGACTGATTCCAGAACATTGTTCTTCAGAATCTGCTGATACTGAGTGGAATCCATGCCACCTTTAACTCTGACAAGGTTTCCAGTACCTGTGCTTGCCACACATGATGGACCCTCCACCATATCTTACAGTAGGGAGCAGGTTCTTCTCCTGGAATGCTGTGTTCTTCTTCCATCATGCAAATCACCTATGGTTGTGGCATCTGTCCACAGTAAATTTTTCCAAAATGATTCAGGCTTGTCCAAATGAGCCTTTGCATACCTTACCTTTCTATATGGGTCATGTATATTTTGTACAATATGTATAATTTATAATCAATCTATTACATTCCTTTAAGAGAAGAAAAAGAAAGATTAAGAAACATTTCTTTCTTACCTCTGAATTGGAACCGCAACCAATAAGCGTCTTTGATATAAATGCACATTCCATGATTTTCCACAAGTCAGCAGGAGCTGAACTCAGTGTGTAATACATATGCGTCCCACCAGTGAAGTCCATTAGGGCCTCAGAAATGAAGCCAGCGTTCAAGTCAGCATAGGACCCACACACCCTGTAAAGACAAATGTACTTGAGTCTTTTAAACCTGTTGATGGATGATGAAAAATGCAGAACATTGCTTCTTTCAAATACTACTTGGCATAAGCTTTCTCCAGTAAGGCAGGCCAAAACTCATTCGACGTTTTTGAACACACAAAAAGCAGTTCGTCATCAATAGTTGGAAGCTGGTCATCAATAACAACATCAATCCATTTTTCAAACCGCCAGAACTGTAGGACAAACAAACATGGTGGAAAATATAATAGAAACCAAGCAAACTATTTTGAGCTCATTGTAGTATGACAAAAAATAATATGTCACCCTGAAATGAAAAATCCCAGCATAATCCTTGGTGAATGACTGTTCAGCTGGCAGGACTTGTTTCATGATGTCCTTCTCAAAAGTTAGAGCCCCGATCGAAGCCAAGAACCAACAATTTCCTTTAGAAAAATACATATTTACATAACTGGAATACTTATAGAATAAGTCAGACGTAATATAGTGTACAGTTGAAGTCAGAATTACTAAATTTGAATTTGAGTTTGATTTAATTTTTTAATATCAAATATTTCCTAAATGATGTTTAACAGAGCAAGGACATTTTCATAGTATGTCTGATACTATTTTTTCTTCTAGAAAAAGTTGTATTTGATTTATTTTGGGCTAGAATAATAGCAGTTTTAAAAAAAACAGTATAAGGTCAAAATTATTAGCCCATCTAAGCTATTTTCAAATATTACTTACTGTCATCATAGCAAAGATAAAATAAATCAGTTATCAGAAATTAGTTATTAAAACTACTATGTTTAGAAATGTGTTGAAAAAATCTCTGCGTTAAACAAAAATTGGGGAAAAAAATAAACAGGGGGACGAATAATTCTGACTTCAAATGTATATTATTAAGCAAGTTTCACGGCTTTTCATTTTTATGAAGAAACGCAAGATATTTAAAGAAAACAAACAATGACTCAGGACCAAAAAAAATCATACAGTCAAAGTATGATTTGGCCATTACTTACCAAAAAATGTAGTGCAAGTAGAGTAAAAACTACCTGTTGTAAATGCTACTCAAAGGTATGAGAAAACAGTGATTGCAGTTTTAGGGCCCTATCATACACCCGGCGCAGTGTGGCGCAAGACGCGGCGCAATAGTGTTTTGGTAGTTTCAGCTTGGCGCAAGAGTCGTTTTGAGGTGTTGCGCTACGCTGTTTAAATAGCAAATGCATTAGCGCTCATATGTGCGCCCATAGGCGTTCTGGTCTAAAAAGGAAGGCGTCACGAGGCGGATCGCTGGCGCGTTGCTATTTTGAGAATCTATAATAGAGTTTTCATTAGACCAAAACTAACCCGGTCTAAACTCCGGCGCAGAGTTGCGCCTCACTTACACACTGCTTAATACACACAAGAGAGCAATAGGCAAATATCTTTACATATGAAAAAATGTAAATATTAAGGATATTTATATATATATATATATATATATATATATATATATATATATATATATATATATATATAAATATATATATATATATATAGGATATAATAAGAACAGATATAGGATATAAATATAAAGGATTAAAATATTACAAAACATATTATTTTCTAGCCTACATAAACATGAAAAATCACTGCTTTTATGTCTTCTTCATCTCGGGAGGCTTTTTCAGTTCATTCATAACAATTTGCTTTTGTATAATGTTATTATTATTAGCAGTATTATTTATTATATCCATGTTTATATTTGTTTTGTTAAAAACAAGCTTAGATTTGCCCACCTGTCAGGTTTTAAACCATATGGGGCATGGCAGATGTATTTTGAAATAACTCAGTATTTTGACCACACTTGGTCATTATTGTTCATTTATTCGTTTGCTAGAAATTAGAACTGAATTTAGAAATAGTTTTAAAACGAATATTTGCGCTTAACAAACAAAATTATTTATTTATAGGCTAGTTGATGTCTGTGCATAAAGGTTTCCCTATCCAAGAGCGAAAGTTAAAGTAGTTCCATTATCTCTCATTCTCACGCAGTAGATGCTCTGTTTAACAGTTTTCTGTTAACTGTTTGCTTGTGAAATGCTCAGTTTTTCCACTTAGACTTACTTTACGTCCTGTAAATAGCGAATGCGCTCTTGGTGAGACGCAGCTGGCTCTTAAAGGTAATGGGAGATGAGACTCTAATTGGTTTATTCTCAAAACACACCTATAACTCATTAAGAAAATAAACTCAACCCTTTTAGCCCATGCACCGCGGCGCAAATCGCTTTTTCCCGTCCTTAAATTGGAAAAATGAGTTCTGACACGCCCTGAAAGCGTTTGCGCCCTGCGTTTTGCGCTCTGCGCATGGACCGTCAAAATAGAGTCCTTAAAGTTTCTCAAGAGTTTCGTAGCATACGTGTGCGTTTGACGCAGAAGTATAAATCAGCTTTACGGCGCAGCCTACGCGTTGACGCACAGCCCTACGTTGTGGCCATCGGCATCATTGACGCACACCTCTCAAAAAATGTAACTAAAAATCGCAACGACGAGTAGCGCAAACCCTGTGATTAGTCGGCTTGGTAGCGCTGACGAGTCTGGGCGGGACCGAGAGCTGCGCAAGCCCGATGGAGCGACTTTTTACAAGTGTGGAGCCCTGTGAAGGAGCTCCAGATGGAAAGTTTTGTTTTGTGTTTACCTCATGGTTAAAGTTGTTGCACGTCCACTGGTTCCCGCCTCAAAATGAGCGTGTTTGAGCCATTTGTACATTCAGGAAGCATTCAGAAAAAACAAAAGACCAGCGAAAAAACTCGACACAGAAGAACATTAACACCTCACTGCCAACTAGCAATGCAGACCAACAGAAACAGCGCGCAGAAGTGCAAATGCACAGCTACGTGCGTTGCATGGCCCGTAGGTCGCGCCAATCACTTGACGCAGAAGTATAAACCAAGCTTAACAGAAATTTAGAGCTAACCGCAGAACACAGTCCTGATAACAGCTGATATTTTGCAGCTCCATCAAGGGTTGCATGCTGAATTTGCTGTTATAGCCAGGAAAGCAAATGTTGTCAGGGCTTTGAAAAAATTGTTTTGTTACTTTCATGCAACATTATTTTCGACCCCTCTCTCACCTATGTGAACTCAAACCTACCTAATACACTCCCCTGTGCATAGTCAAACCTGGACACATCATCCACAATTAAGTTAGGGTCCGACACCAACTCCTGACAGGAAGAAAATGTGTAAAAAGTTGAATGCTCAAGTAAATGTATTTCCATAGAGAACTTTGTTTATTATACATACAGATGGCCGCTTCCACACAATCTGGGACATGTCCACCTCTGGAGGCACTTCATCAAACAGGCCAATAGAGCTGTTGTCTGGAGGGAACAGCTCATCGCTGTACAGTGTGCTTTCAGTTAGACACTTCTGCTGAAGCTCCTGGTAGTTCTGATCCAAGAAGTACAAAGGACTGGTGAGGGAATCCACTTCATCTTCATTTGGGTTGTGGTGGCAATTGTTTGGAGGAGGCATTTTTATTATCACCCAGAACCCTTTTTGCTGCATACCAAACAAACACAAACACAAAGTGTATCACCACCTCAGTGGACATGACATTTCAAGAGAGTTCACACTTAACTGATGATTGATTATAAAGCTTGTTTGGTATGATGTCCTGGGAGAGAGCCCTAAGCTCATAGGATCCTCGAGCCCAGGGTTCCCTCTCATTTGCAGGATGAGAGGGGAGTTTGAGCTCAGGTGGATGTTGAGAACTCCTCCGCTTGTTAATGCGAATGCAAATTAGGAGTAACTATGGAGAGAAATATTGCTGATTGAGCGCTCGTCTATGGTGTCGATTTGGTTTGGTCAATTTACTTATGTTACATGTCTTTGGCCTGTGGGAGAAAACTGGAGAGTCCGGGGAAAACCCAAGTAAACAGCAGCAATTGGGATGGTGGCATGGAGAATAAGTACATTGAATATAGCTTTTACCACAAATGAATGAATTTTTTCCAAATTTAAAGTTCCTTAAAATTAATCTTTTGATAAAATTTACTGATCCACAGACTGAATGTAATTAGAAGTGGGATGAGCTTTAGAGACAGGGACAAGTTCACATTTATGCTATGTAACTTGGATTTTTGTTAGAATTTTCTTGTTATATCTTGTTACACAGTCACTAATTATGTTCACCTTTGCCTTGCTTAGTTCCTTGTTAGTTGTTACCCTGTGTGTTTGAAGCTGTACAGTATTGCCATTTAACTGTAAATAGTATAAGAGTATATTTGCTCATAGGACAAATAGCGTCTAATCAGACCCTGTCAGAAAATAAATACACTGGATTTGTGAGGATAAAATCAGGCCTGTCTCTAATTCTAACTAATCAGCAGATGTCTATGCCAAAGTGCACTGCAGCAAACTCTTGAGCTGCATGACAAAGCATCACTATTGCAAACCTAGGTGTATTCTTTTCTGATGCAATGTCCTATGACCAATGGGCAGGCCCAGTATTTGTAATAGAGAGATCTTTAGGAACCAATTAATTATGAAAGGGAAAAAGTAATATACTAAATGACCAATTGATATTTAGAAATGTTTTTTTTAACAATTGAATGATAGGAAATACTCCACCTACAGCACATTTATATAATTTTATCATAACAAATGAAATTGAGATTGAGACAATTTCATTTGAGATTTTTAATCCACAGTAGACACATACACTGTAAAAAAATAAACGTTATTTTACAAGTAATTGTCTGTATTTTTTAAAAGAATTTTCCAGGTTTCTTTTTTTTTCATTATACAGTGAAATACACCTTGTTTTACAGATATCTTTTGTAATAAAATTTTTTAGCATTAAATTTACAGTTATGTGTTGGTATTAGGTTATTTTAATGAATAGATTACTCCTGTAAAAACAGGGAAACAGAAATTCTGTCAAATTGTTTGTAGTGAATATAATCATCATTTGAAGATTAACGTGAGGTTAATAATGTCAAATAATAGCCTATTGTTTGTAGGCTGCATATAATGCATGCATTGTAAACTGTTTACTTGACTACTTTAACAATGTTGCTATGCTAATTGTTACGATCACGAGTGATCTAGTGGCTGCAGAAAATACACACATGCTAGTTTAACAAACTACAACTCCCAGCATGCACCTCACACACACAGGTTCCTAATTTGGACTAATTACACACAGTCAGAAGAGCTGTACTCAGCACACACAGATACATTGTTGCTGAGTCTTAAACTGTTTAGTGAGCATTACGACGCATTTCCCCTTGCCTTGCCGCATTTGACCCCTTTGTTTTTTTTTTTTTTTTTTTTGCCGCCTTTACGCTTGGGATTATCTGTATGCACCTGTTTGTTCCTGTTTCAACCTTTAATTGCAAGACAATTCTCTTAATAAACTGCTATTTGATCCTCACCTTTGTTGTGCAGGCATCCTTGGATGACTACAAACCTTGTTTTTGTTGTTGAAACAATGACAAAATGTGTTATTTGTTAAAAAAAATTATAATAAAATTAATTAAAAATTAGATATATAACAGTTTTGTATTGATTCAAGCTAATTGTTTTAGAGTTTAACCTACATATCCTAAAAAAATATTTGTTAAACTATATTATAGCTTATAGTTATATTTACAGTGTTTTATGACAACAGCAATTATCTGCCCCTTTTTAATTATTCTTTAAAATATTTTAAATACAGCTGGGGTGCTTATTTTATGGTAAATGTCTGTAATTTAACAGCTGTTATTTTGCGTATTTTCCTGCACCCCAGCTGCAGGAAAAAAACGTAAAACAACGGATTATTATTATTATTTTTTTTTTACATTGTAAAGTAATAGTCTTTAAAATCACATCAAATCATCTGTATAATTACAAAAAATATTTATATTTACAGTAATGACTTGTAAAATGACTAGTAATAAATTAATAAAATGTCAGTAATTACTTTTTTCTATTTTCACACTTTAAATGCAAATTATCAATAGTAACAAACTGTAATTTAATGAATTTTGACCTTAGAATATGGTCTGTATTTTTACAGTTTACTTGTAATTTTGAGAAATGGTTATTTTCCGTAATTTAACGGAATATCTCTGGAAGCCCTACAGTCTTTTGTCCATTTTTTTACAGATTTTTTTTATAGTGTACGTAATCATATAGCCTAAAAATAAATGTTTAAAATCAGCTTAACTGTATACTTTATTCTTCATTGCTCCCATCAAAAAGATGAAGGACTTTCGCATTTGTGCACATACTTCTGCTCAGTTGGGTAAAATCTTGTCTTTTGCATTTCATTTTCTGACACCTTCCCATCCCAGTATATCTGCCACAACTTATTCAAAACATAAAGGAACTTCACCTACCAACAATGTACACTCAAATGAAGCCAAAAGTCAAAGCACAGCTTATATGCAACCTGTGCACTTACTCTAATCAAATATCTTAGTCTCAAGATTCAGTTGTTTATGAATAAACAACTTTTGGTATCCACAATGTGCATAAATCTGGCCCACAGACAAACACAGAGCACTTTTGATTCCCTTCCTCACAATGAGAGCTCTGTCTGAGCTGACTTGAACTACAGCCAGTGATATGTGAATGTCAGCACAACAATTAATATCATTATAATAAACTGAAAGGTAAAAAATAAATCTATAAATGCCAAAAGAGAAGCCTACCGCTACCGTCCATGAGTGTTACATGTTTCGTTTTTTTTTTGTTTTTTTTGTACCATTTAAATATAATTACACCCCTCATATTTATATAGCCTCGCATGCATGAAACTTGCAGCTCTTGGTTTAGTACCCATGGATACCTGCCAACATGCCAATATGATTAATCCTTTGGCATAACAGACCTTATTATATTTATTTTGATATAGTCATGCATTATACATTTTATATAATCTGATAAAAATTGCTTAATTGCAAATATATATATATATATATATATATATATATATATATTTTTTTTTTTTTTTTTTTTTTTTTTCCAAATGATGTTTAACAGAGCAAAAAATATTTCACAGTATGTCTGATTAAACACCATTTTAAGAAAAAAATTATTACCTCCTTTAGGCAAATAGTTTTTTCAATAGTCTACAGAACAATCCATGGTTTTACATTAACTTGCCTAATTACTGGGGCACGTTTCCCAAGCAACGACATAACTCATGGCTGAACATACAATGCATCGTTTGGGAAAAGAACAGTTTAGAGACAAGTGTTTCCCAAAAACCTGTTGATGCTGCAGATCTATTGTTTGAACCATGTTAGTTATAATGTAAAATACCCATAATGATGCTCTAAACGGGGTAAAGTAACAATTTATTTATAGAATAACTATTTCTACTATTTTTACTATTTCTATTTATAGAAGAATAATTTCTTTGTGCAATTTGTATCGTTTTACACACTTTAAATGTCACTTTAAGCTCTATAGAAGTGTCTTGAAAAACATCTAGTCAAATATTATTTACTGTCATCATGACAAATATAAGATGGAGAAGAGTTATTAAAACTATTATGTTTAGAAATGTGTTGAAAGAACATTCCCTCCATTAATTAAATTATTAGCCCCCTCCCTGTTTATTAATAAACAGGGAGGGGGCTAATAATTCTGACTTCAACTGTATATAATAACTATACATATATATATATATATATATATATATATATATATATATATATATATATATATATATATATATATATATATATATATATATATATATATATATATATATCGTTTTTGTAGGCTATACAGTAGTTTAAGTAGGCAATACAGTATATAGGCTATAGCGTCACAGCGTTGTACAGTAAGTAAGTGCATGAACTGAATGGTTCAAACTGAATCATGGTTTGCGAGCCGATTCATTTCACTACTCGGCTTGACAGTTCAATTGAACAGCAACTGAAAATACTGAACACACAACGAGTTATGGCACCGATTACAATCTACTGCTAAGTAAAAACAATCCCACACCGTAAAAAGACAGGTACAATACAGCAATATTCTCGTCTAAAGTATATGTTGCTATTTTATAGGCTGAAGAAATTGTCGGTTTAGCACAAACTGCATTTATAATGTTTGGGATAAAATAGTCTAGCTAAATACAAATTTAAAAATCGATATCTTCAAACTCCATTACTATGTTTATAAAACATTCCAGCTAATATTTCACTTTAAAAGTCACTTGTGCCCAGCTCTCAGCAAACGTACCTCTCTCTGCAGGGTCGAGCGCTCTGACAGACGCTGCACTGGTCAGCTCATTTGGATGAGAACTCGCATACGTGGTGACGTGCTTAAAGGCAAATCGTCATAATAGTAGGTTCTGTAAATTAACACAAATATTCCACCGCCGTAAGTACACATTAGTACACATGCTGTAAATCTGATGTGTGTGTGTGATGAACTAGACTTATTTGTGAATTTGTATCTTGTTAAGTGAAACATGCCTGTTACATCAGTGAATTGTGAGAGCAGGTTAATTCCTTCTCGTAGCATTAAAACATAAATATATAAATACAAATTAAATAAATGATGATAATAATAATAATAATTAATGATACTGCTTATAATTAATTAAGTTAGCTACATTTATAGCACAGTTGTAGTTGTAATTTAAACACTTATAGTTTTTAATCTGGCTGTTTTTTTTTTCTCTGGGGAAAAGAAGTAAATTAACTAAACAGAATGGGATGTAGGAGAATGTATGATCTCTAATGAGAGTAATACAGCAGACAACATCACTTAGGTGTTTAAAAATAAAAAATCTATTACATGCATACAGTACACTTCAAATCCTCTGATCTTTAGTAAAGCTATGCAACATCTTTATCCAAACAGCACTGCTGCTGCTGTTGAGTTGTTCAGAACATTGCTCCATTTTTATTCATTCATTCATTCATTCATTCATTCATTTTCTTGTCAGTTTAGTCCCTTTATTAATCCGGGGTCGCCACAGCGAAATGAACCACTCTCTGGGAAACATCCACACACACATTCACACACAAGGTCATACACTATGGCCAATTTAGCTTACCCAATAAACCTGTACTGCATGTCTTTGGACTGTGGGGGAAACCGGAGCACCCGGAGGAAACCCACGCGAAGGCAGGGAGAACATGCCAACTCCACACAGAAACGCCAACTGAGCCGGCGTTCGAACCAGCGACCTTCTTGCTGTGAGGCGACAGCACTACCTACTGCGCCACTGCCTCGCCCTGCTCCATTTTTATGGTGTGATTATTTAGGAAATGTTGGAGAGATAATGACATCCAGATTCTTTTGGTTTCAAATCCAGGTGTTTCAGAAGGGTTGAACTTCGAGTTTTGAAATGTTGTTATTGTCGAGTAACCTCATCTGCAGTCCCAGTATGTATAAAGAACATGTTGGTTCTTCTTTTCACAATCCTAATACTCACAAGACAAACAAGGAGGGCTTGACTGAACAAGGAACAAGTTGTTCAAAGGCATCTTTTTCATTCATCTTTTTTGTTCAATTGTATTTGTTTTATTAAAACCTGTCTTCTTTATATGTAGTGAAAGTGTTATTTGGAATTGCTAAAAATGCACAAGATCGAGGGCCTGTTCTATAAACTAAGCTTAGAGAAAAAAACAGGCTTATTTTGGCAAGTCAGGTTTATTAATGGCGGATTTGGTTTTATAAATCAAATTTACAATAGTTCAAGCTCAGTTACTCTGGCAACCTATGCTTGGAAACTAGCCTGGTCTGGAGCAGGTTAACTCTCAGGCTAAGTCAAGTTCAAGCTTTTTCAAGGTAAAAATAACATTCGCCTGTCACAATTTGAGACCATTTTAATTCACTTAACCTTTTAATACCTTATTAATACCTCACTTAACCTTTTAATTTGAATAAATCTTTAGTCCCTTAATAGAATATATATATATACACCAAACATCTTCAAGAACAGAATGATAATACATTTAAATTCAAATAAGTTATTGCAAACAAACAAAAAAAAAAAATACAAACAACGACATTTCAACAAAATTCTATACTTTTTTCCATGTTTCTGTTGATTTTTTTTCATGTTTATAAAAATTTTACAAATTTTTGGATAGTATATCTTTAGTTTAAAGATTTTTTTTTTTGTTAGATTAGTTCTACATTTTGCTAAGCTAATGTAAAGCTATATATATATATATATATATATATATATATATATATATATATATATATATATATATATATATATATATATATATACACACATCTTTTAGGGTCAAGTGGCTTTATTTAGAGGTACAAAATTGTACCTTCTACATTTGTACCATTTAAGGGATAATTTTGTAATCCCAAGGAACAAAGTTGTGGACACTGAAGGTACAAAAATGTACCTTATTATATTATAGCATTTTCAGGGTACTGGTCCTTATACAGTACAATTTTGTACCCTAATGTGCTATAAAAGGTACAAAAATTTACCTTTCAAACCTAATTCTGCACTCTAAAAAATAACTCAGGATAGTTCAATACATTATTGTAACTTAAAGATTCTAACATGCTGATTAGATTAAAACTTTTAGGTTGGCAGAATAATTTTATTAATAAGTTTCCAAAACAGGAAAATATTGATAATTACATCCATTTAAAAATGCAGCTAATTTAAAGCTAAATATATCTTTCAGTTACTTTGAAAGAATATTTAACTTGTAGTAACCCAAAGAAATTGGATTGATAAGTCACACTAATGGAGTTGTTTTATATTAAGTCCACACTGATGCACTGATGAGTACATGTTTTTGCTTTGTAAAACAATGAAAACCTGTGTAATACAAAAAAAAATATGTTTTTTTTATGTTAAAAATGTTTTTGTTAAATGTATTTCTCACAAGCATGAACAGTAAATTAGAAAACAAAGAAAAATTAAACAATTTCGGATTTCTTAATTTATTTGAGGTTCTAAACTTGAAAACGTGCATGTAATTAAGTACATAACACTGAATTTGTTTTTAATTTTAATTTATAAAACTAATTGAAACAACTTTTTTTTTTTGAGTACTCGACTTAAAAATTTGAGGTCTTTGCTGTATAAAAATGCCTCTGATTAAAGAGGAAAATATTTGGCTAACATATAGTTTGTTGTCTAAACTTAATTTTATTAGATTTAGTCGTAACTTCAATATTAATGCAAACTGTTGCGTAATTTTTTACCCCCAGTGCTCGGTTGCAGCTTGGAGGGCATCCGCCTCATAAATCATTTGCCAGAGTAATTGTCGGTTCATTCTTTTGTATTGACCCCTGATAAATCAGGGACTTAGCTGAAGGAAAGTAAGTGACTGCAGTATATCTATCAGTTTGCTCCATCTAAACATTTCTTATTTGGATGATTTCCTTTTCGCACTAGCTGCTGACCCCTTACCTCCGTGTGAACGGTGGAATCAACTGTGACAACGGGGTTCAAGTCTGACCAAAAACAGTTCCAAAAAACGGGTAAGACAAAAACAGAATCCAAAAAAATTATCTAAAGTAAATAACTGAGAACGTCTTTTTCTGGATTGCTTTTTAAAACACTGTTGGCTGGGTTTAGGAAAGTGGGTGGGTGCTGGTCAATCGGTGCTATTTGAAATGCTATCGGTTGGGTTTATGGAAAGAGGAGGGTGGGTCAGTTGGTCAGTCATTCGACAGCGGCCTCTGGTGGATTTACACTTGCATGGCACTTGCGAGAGAAATTTGAGAATTGAAAAAGTGTACAAAGCAGCCTCAAAAAAAAAAACACAGCTCCTGGGACATATTTGATGCTCTTCAAAAATGTATACAGGGGACGTAATCAGAATGAGGCTGGGTTTAAAAAAAATCAATAAAGAAAATTTAAATTCATGTGACATTTCCAGTTTTAAATAAAAGCAAAGAAAGAAAGGCAAGCCTTTTAATTCTTAGAGAGATACAAGTACAAAAAAATGCAACCACTGCAACTTTATTTTTGTTGTTTTACAAAATAATTCAACAACAAAATGTGAAATTGCCCAAAACACTGCTGTTTAACACTGCTTTTATGCATTTGCTGACAAGCACACTGGCAAGCAGACATTTCTTCATGAGTACATGGTGAGTCCTATCCACTAAAACACAAATAAACACAAATAGGTTATTTGAACAGAAACATAATAATAATAATAATAATAATAATAATAATAAAATGTTCACATTGGAATTACCTCACTCTCATCAAGACTTATCTTCCCATTTTCACAGAGTTTCTGAAATATGCCTAAGTGATGAACAGAATAAATGCTTAGAATTTTGTACAATACAAAATATAATAAATAAATTGTTAATAAAGAAGTTTCAGGAGCATGAAAAAATTGAACTCAATTTTGTTTATGGGTGTGTGGGTGACACATGTAACGTAATTGTTTGGTTTAATTTTACACTCCTGAACACCAAACTGCATTGCAGCAGCTGCACTCACTGGCCATGCAGTTCAAACGCATGACAAGGCATATGAATCCCTCCAACGAGATCTGTTCAGATGCACCACCGTACCGCACCACCATGAGATTCAAGATGTCTTCGTTTAGATGTAGGCCTAGGATAAAACAACCATGACAAACAATACTATACAACATGCACATGCATGCACTATTATAATGTTTTGTACAGCCAACAGCCATGTTATTATTTATACCAGTTCAACTGCTTGTTAATGCAAAAACAGTATCAGCCAATCAAATTACAGCAACTCTATTGTATTTATGGGGATTTGATAATCTGCTTTAGTTCAAACTGAGAATCAGAACATGGAAAAAAAAGAGGGATTTAAAGGAATAGTTCACCCACAAATAGGAATTTGTTCACTATTTACTTACTCATTTCAAGTTTCTTTCTTTTGTAGTTGTTTTTCCTACTGTGGAAGTCAATTGTTACACATTTTCGACTTTCTTCAAAATAACTTGAAGAATGAAACTCAAAGTTTTGAAACCACTTAACATAGTATTGATCTCATAAAGACTGGTCTGAATTTGTCAGTTAAAGAGTGAAAATGCAGAGTTGTTGCCAATGGTCAAAGGGATGAATGGACAAACTGGTTCAAGTTAAATATGCAACAGTAGTTCAAATATCTACAGCTGAGGTCTGCTGAAGAGCATCGCTGAACATACATTGTCAAACCTTGAAATAGATTATCTACAGCAGCAGAAGAAAAAAACACTGGAGGCACTCCTGTCAGGACAGCGAGCTGAAGCCAAAATGAACACAAACTGATCAAAAGAAGATTGAAAACAGGTATGATGAGTCTTGATTTCACCTTAAGCAATGAAATGGTATGGCCAGAATTTATTTAAATCAAATGAAAACATGGATTTACCCTCCTTTAAGTGGTTCATCTTCTTGGTTTAAGGGTTGTTGGGGTGATTTATTTTTTGGCACACTTTAGACCAGTGTCAAACCTGCTCCAATACACTACCTGTAGGTTTCAAACAAGCCTGAAGGACTCAATTAGTTTGATCAGGTGTGTTTAATTAGGGTTGGAACTAAACTGTGCAGAGCTGCGGCCCTTTTGGAACCGAGTTTGACACCTGTGACTTAGACCCTTAAGTGCTTACCTTAGTATTGTTGCTGACAATGTCCATCTTTTTATGACCAAGGTGTAGATCTTTTGATGACTATATTCTGACTTCCAGCATGTAACAAAGCTCACATCTCAAAATACCATCTTAAAACATGATGGTGAGTACACAAATCTCTAATGACCTCCTCAGACACGAGATCTCAATACATT